CGAAATACGAGGCTTAAATGAGTAATCCCGCATGCATTGGTTCTTGGTACATCTTTTAATTCAATGAGGACCACATGAAAATCACCAATTTTGTATTTAACATTTCTGCTAATTCTGAAGGTTTAACTGTACGATTAACATGGAAAGTAGAATAACAGAGTATATTTTCTATCTTTTCAAATTTCTTTCGCTAGAATTTAAGCTTATTGAATAATAGTGTTTCTAATATTTTTAGACCGAGGAATTGATCTTTTCAAATTCAATAGCAAAAAAACTAAATCTCATTCTGAAAATTTCCAAAAATTACCACATACGTGAAGAGAAAGAAGGCCAAAATTTCAGCGTTGAATAGCATTTACAGAGTTTTTCATTGCCTTATCGCTTCTATCGAAAAATGTACGAGGATTAGGAATATTACCCACTGGAAATACAGGTCAAGTAACATGGGGAATACCACAAATAAACATACGATACGCTACGTCAGAAAGAGAAAATGAAATGTCGAAATCTTCGGAAAGAGATTAAATTTAAGCAAAGGATGCTTAAGGTAACCACAGCTCTCTACGCTTGGCTGTGTCTTACGATCAACAGCCCGTTAAAAGAAATACAAAGGGTCGCTATATATGTTGTCACTTCCTGCACGCCGCATATCAACTTTTTGCGGCAAAACTAAAAGTTTTTATGATGTGTATTCATAAATTACTTACTACCACTTACCAGCATTTCCAAGCACTTTATAAAATCGGTATTCCAGATGAAGTTGTGGTGCCCTAGATTTCATGGGTTCCTGCCAAGAAAGAATATGATATTTGTCTTCAGTTGGCGGTAATATATCTTGTATTTCGTCATGAAAGAACCGAACAAAAGCGACAGACAAATGTAAAGTGGTTACGACTCACCAGTTTGATGGCGACATGCTCGTTGTTGTACAAATTTTTCCCTACAAATGTCAGATAGACGGAGAAAAAAAAGATAGCGTAAGCTTGACATGATAAGACGCTAAAAGGGTATGGTGTATACATCATAAATCCGCAAAATATGGTAACGACAAATTCATTATTCGTACCAAGTCGTAGTTCACCGAAGTTTCCACATCCAATCTTCTTACCAACACGAAAATTCGGTCCAACCATCATTACCCCAGACCCAGAACTAGAACTACTTCTCGGCGAGTGTAAACTACCTCGACTAGGTCGAGAAGCTTTCCTATCTCGCTCGCGGTCGCCCTCCCTCTCTCGTTTGGACTGCATATCGAGGACAGCCGCGATGCACCAGGTCTCACTATCTTGTCGTTTCGATGCCTAAAATCTCTTTCCAGCTCGACTGGAAAGCCATAAAGAATGAATCATTCTGTTCTTGATACTTCTCTTCAAGCTACATTCCACAGCTGGGCGCTTGGAACCAACGAAAACAATGAATAAGACGATGATCTTTCCCCAGCCTTACACAACGCTCTGGTAAACTCAAGTCTGTTAGCTGAAGAAAGTTGTTGAACACGCAAGATCAAGGAGCATGCATTGCGAACCGTGAATCTGGTCGCCTGACCTTCAAGTGGGCGTTGTCCCCTAGCAACGTGGTGTAAAAAACAATACAATTATGTAATTGTTTACTTCTGCTGTAAGACTGTACCATTTAATTTTTGCTCTTATAGACAAAATAAGGGAAAGCTTTTTTAGCCAAGTCGGTAAGTGTCGTTCAGTGGAACCTCGCTATAACGAAAGGGACTAGCAAAATTCATTCGCAATAGCGAGGTTTCGTCATATCTCTTTTTCATATATTTTACCATTACTTGGGTAAAGAAAATCGTCGGTTACACCGGGGACTTCGCTATATAGAGGCTCGTTATATCAAGTTTCCACTGTATTTACATTCTCACAGATGCACAGCCAGTCTTAATTCTCAAGTATTTGCATATTCACAAGCAATGTTTCAAGTACTTACACTTACTTAACATGTGCCTTGTTCAAAGTTGATAGAAATAAAAAAAAAAAGAAAAATATTTCTACAGCTATATTGTGTGAAATATATTGAATCAATTTTGGATGTCTTTGCACTAGAGGACGTGATACGTCAGCGATGATTTAAACGCCTGGCTGTGAAGTGCAACGTCAAGAGCGACGTCAATTTCGAGTCATCGCGAGAGAACTGCTCAAAGGCGCAGAGGCGTTTAGTCACGTTAAGTGCGTCGATTAGACACACTTAGCTTTAGACTTTTCACTCGTCTGACGTTTAATATGTGTGGCCATTTTCAAGTTCTCATATTAACACTAGACAGACGTCCACTATTGCAAAGGCCAATATTCCGAGCGCCTGCCAGTCGCGCTCTTAAATTCGCGAATGAATTCATTATCACTTCAACTTCATTACTCTGTTTACAGTGCATCGATATTCTTGAACAACTGGATAAAACATATTTACAAACTTGTACAAACTTGTACTGCGCAAAAGAAGAGACAATCTAAGGAGGTCACGTGCTTTTCGAGTCGGCTCATAAGCGTTAGTAGAATTTTTTTTAGAGCCCAAGATTTCGGCTAAATATGGCATGTTTATGGGCATTGATATGGACAAAATTTACTTCAATTTTTTTAAGTGTGTGTGCTGTTTAAGAGTTTGGAAAACCATCTGGAAATTGTAACACCCGTTTACTAAGTACTTTCATGGTGTTAGACTACCAACTCAATTCTGTAAAACTCAAAGCTCGCGCTTTCTCCTCTTTTTTTAGGCCAATTCCGGCTTTTGATGCACGAAAAACAGATGAAAATACCCACGTTTATTCATAGCCGACTCAGAGAATGACGAAAATCACTGACGGTTGAATAATAAGTTCCGTGATGAAAAAAGTTCCTTTTTTGACCGAAAAACGTTTATTACCTGACAAGGACATTTAAGGGCATTTAATCAATGACGATGTCATTCGGTCCCTTAATTGACATTTTGAACACTTTTTAAGTGTCCTTAGTTATTATCTGCTTTTCTTCAAGATTTTTGTGCTGCACATCTTTAGATCGACGAAAAGAAATGTTTTGCCATGAGTCAGGGTTAAAACTGCCATCAACGTAGTTATCACCATATATAAAAGCATGCTCAGGAAATTTTTTTCTACTTGTACGTGCTTCAACGGAAAATTTGTTTACAAGGGTCACGACTTCATGAAAAGCATCAAGCACGTTCCTGCTTATAGATACGAATTCTTAATTCTTTAAGCAAAGGTTTGATGGTAATTATATTTTGAAGGCCACAGTTTAAATTCTTTTTTGGGTATCCGCAATTTTCTCTGTTTTATTGGTGTGATTTTTTTGTTTTAATTTGTTTTGATTGTAACACGAGCCTTCTATTCAACGGTTAACCCCTGTCCTGCCCCCACAAAATCCCCGGTGGACGCCCCTGCCCCTCCTTCCTATACAAGTTTATGTCAAATTTTGTCCTTTCCTCATTGGAGATTAAATTTTTATTAAAGTCCGTTCAGGTAATTGCGGACCGAAACCGAATAAGTTCGTTTCGACTCATTAAAGAATTAAATCTCGTATAAGTTGTTATTTTTCTCGTCATGCTTTCCTCCGATAAAGGAACGTGACACATTCAATTAGTATAAGTAATAGCATGATTTGTAGTAATATTTGGCATAAAATCCACGAGAGATATTTCGAAATTGTATGACAATGTGCCAAATAGCACGTACAAATCATGCCATTATTTGTTTATGCTACTACCCACTAAAGGTTTGTAATTTTCACATGTATTTATTTCAGATTAAGCTGATATACCACTGCTCTATGCCAGTCAAAGTTATCATGTAGTGGTATAACCTTATTTGCTGTATTTCCTTAACTCTCTTTGTTTATTGTATTTCAATCGGTAACACCATAAATTAGATATTAGCTTGTTAGCTACTCTAAAATTCGAGTATAAATAAAGTTTTATGTTATGTTAGAAATGGTCATACCAGGAGCCTGGTCGTACTGAATAAACTAGTTTTTGTTGTAGTCGTTGTTCTTGTTGACACCCCTATTGAGGTCTGCCTAGTCTACACTTTGTAATCCTGTGTAATGCATCAAAAGACTCAAAATAGATCAAGAGTGATCAATAAACAAAAAGCGAAGAAGGATTGCCTAGTGGCAGGTTAAAGCCCGAAGGGACATAAATGACCTTGAATGGCCGGCAATTAGGGAAAAGCCCTGGGGACGAGGTTATTTAGCCTGTGTCGCAGACGAAACTTAACCTCGGTTAGACTTAATCGTCTGTGGCACAGGCTATGCCTGAAAGGTATAGCATAGTTGGCTGGTGAAAGGGCAAGGCATGATCCCCGAGAAAATTTGGCATTGAATTGGGTGGAAATCGCTGAAATGCGTCTAGCCGTCAATATTTATCTGCTCTCTCGCTAGCTGCACGGGCACTAATCTCACCGTCACTCTCGTGGGGAAGGACTGCTAACATTCAAATGTGCACTAAATATCCTATTGCTTTCTGTCTACAATAGCCGCTCCACTGATTTTCAGAGATTATTAAATTATCGCAACTTATCTATCTTCAAAATTCTTTTTGATATAATCAGGGGAGGCCTACCTTCGAAATGCTTTATACAACGGTATGATAAAGATAATAAAAATACACGGATAACAATAAATAATAATAACGTAACATATAAGTGAAATTTCTATAAACAGCGAGGAGAGACGGATGTATTCGCAGTAGTCTTAGCCTGCGAAGCGCAGACGCATTTCCGGTCGGAGGGAGAGAAGCGACGACCGGAAATGCGTCTGCGCTTCGCAGGCTACAGTAGTCTGGGAACAAGTTAAAAATTGAGCGGGAAACTATGGTCAGCGGTCATTAACAACAACCCAAATCGCGCTTTCTCAAGATCCGTTGAAGCTTCTACATTTCAAGATTTTCAGCTTTTTGTTGTAGAAACAAAAGACAAAGAAATATCATTCTAATGGATGTTACATGAACTATTGGCCATAAACTCACTACTGGTCTTAAAATTGTCTAAATCATGCGAAATGGCGACAAGTGATTGGAGTTCAACGTACACGGACCGCGGATCTCTCGGTCGCCCAGGAAGTGCGTCCATTTCTCCTATTCCTGTATCAACGGGTTCGCCTCCGGATAGTGGAAATAGTTCTCCAAATTCTCCAACGATTGCTCAGGATGTAAGTGTCTTTTAAATTTCTGTTTCTCCCTATAAAAGGAGTGAGCTCCTGGACTCCACATGTCTGCGATCGGAGCTCAGCGATTCGTTTATTGTCTAATTTTTGGGCACTGTGAGCTTACTGTTTACCATTAGATTAGCTTTAATGCGCTTTTTTATCTTTTCACTCTGACACTATGATTGTGCCCGTTGATTAACTTGAGACCAAGAAAACAATAGCATTATATTCTCTTCGATCGGTTAAATCATAATGCATTGCTTTTTGGTATCTTTTCATGATTATTGCTGAGTTCTTGTGTTAAAAACACGGTTATGTTTGATCGGTGAGTGCTTTGTAATCTGGAGTGAGCATGTCTTCGGCCATTTAATAAATTCCAAAACCTCCTTGTAGAAAAGAATTTTATCACAGAAGGTGAATAAATACTTTTCAAAGAATCTGAAAAAGTTCTATAATCCGTAGAATGGAAAGGCGATACACATTTTGTTTGGTTTATTAATCATCAACTGTTAACAATGCAAAAAGTCACATAGATGAGGTAAAAATAATAAACAGGCTTAGATGAAATATTTACCATTTGCACATCCTGTTTCAAATATTAATTTTGACCTTAGATTTAATAAAAGTTTGTAATTGATTTTTTTCTGGAAGAGGTTTTGTCCTTACAATGATTTACTCTATACAGCTGTATCATTAACATTTCTATGCAATAATTATTTAATTAATTTTGTACAAAGGGGTCAAGCATCAAAGGAAATGAATTTGTGTTTGCGTTGCTAACACCATAGTGTGAAGTGTTCAGGAACAATAAAAGATTTTTAAACCAATTCAGACATTTTTGACAACTGACATAGTTTTGAACAAATTTTTGCATCTTAATACCCATTGCATGAGTGCAATATTACTCCATACTCTCATCAAATAAGGTGTCCATATTGTACCAGTCAATTTCAAAACTGCCCATGTAGCCCGGCCCCTCCTCCCACATTTAACAGGCTTTCTCAAATGCTCCAACATAATGGTGAATATAGGAGCAATGTCCCATGAATATGGTGCACAGCAGAATGCAGAAAGAATTACAAAATCCTTTTGCTGGCGACACTGCAGACCACCATTTTGACACAAAAGTCAAATGCCGGAGTGGGTGGGCCTCATTTTGGGTCAAATTCCCCACTGTATGGAGCAAAACTCTTGTCAAATGCCTGTTTGGGGATGGGGGGGGGGGAGGACGGTTTTCGAACTGACTGGTATAGAAGATCATTCTTTTAACACTTTTCTGCTCTAAAACCAAAATTATGAAAATCCAAAATTTCATTAAGTTGAAGAATGACAATACTACAGCTCATATATTTTGCGTAAGACCAGCTAACTTACACTGTACAGCTGTAGTCACTTACATAGGCCCATGGTTTCTAGTGGAGTATTAAGGCCATGGACAACACTCCTCTATCGAACTTGGATCCTGGCTGTTGTTACCACCTCAGCCCACTGACTCCCAGCCTTTTGAGTTCTGCCTTTAGCACTGTCTTGTCTCTAGCTGTTCTTAGGCAGCCCCCCTCTTCCTTCTACCCTGGGGCTTCCAGGTGTCGTGCTTGATGTCAGTTTTATTATCTCCTGTCTACCCCCACTAATGCCTTAGGATTTGTTTTTCCTTTGGTTCCTGGGCTTGACTCCCAAAGCTCCTCATTTTGACTTTTTCTGGCCATCTGATCTTGAAAATGTGCTGTCTCAGACAACTGTTGATAAACAGCTGGATCTTTTGCAATGTCTCTGTCTTTTGCCAAAGTGGTTTCATAAAATGTCCATATCACAGGCTTTTATCCACGGACTCAAATTTGTGATTTTTTGTGTTTCCATGATCAGGTTTGAAAGTGAATGGGTTCCCTTATGATAGGAAATTAATGCTCCATGAAATTAAGGTACCGGTATTGGAAATTAACATGACTTAAATTAACGCAAATTAAAATGGACTTTCAAATAAACAAAATTAACCCAAAAGAGATGTTCACATTTCAAAATGAAGGAAATTAATTTGATGTTCACCAAGAAGCAAAACCTGTTGAGACTACAAGAACGATGTTAAATGGATGATCCAAAAAGAAAATTTGTGCATGGTTTTCTTTCCATGAACATACGTGTACAAAGAGGGTCAAGTAAAGAAATTTGGCCACTTTGAGGGTTCTTCACAGTTTCACTGTTACTGCAGATCTTCACCCTGATAAAATACTCCTCTTCCTTATGTGTCAAGAATGTCAGAAGTGTATCGAGAATTTGGGGCAACGCTCCTCTTAATGACGCGAAGAATGATGTTTATTTAATTAATTGTGAGTTTTTGAAATTTGCATTAATTTCATATAGCATTAATTTCCTATAATAAGGTATAATACTAAAAGTAATGAATGAAAAACCATATTCCTGGACCATTTTAGAGCATTGAGCAAGCAGAGGACATGGGAGAAGTTGCAGGAAATAATGATGAAGTTGCAGATTACCAGAAAGAAATTCATGATCTCAGGCTGCAAATACAACAGCTACAGGATGCTGGAAATGTCAAGGATTACCCTGGTAAGAGAATTGCTTTGGGATTTGTTTTAAAGTGAACATTGACTTACATGTAAGCAAGAACTTCAGCCTTTCTTTGGCAACATTTTGAAATGAAGCAGCTTTATCACTTCTAAATACTAGTACAAGGTCTTCTACCAGAGTCCATTTAAGGATTTTTTTTTTAATATAAAAAATGTAGACTGTTAGAATCATCTTTTACAGCAAAGTAAACAGTACCATAGGAAAGCATCACGCAGAAGCTTCAAGCTAAATTAATAGATGTTCATCTTCATACTGAAATCAAAATTAAGGGATGTCACAAAAGCGGGCTGCTGGCTAATTTCACTGGCTGAAAAAGAGCTTACCACTGGCTCAAAATGCAAAGAAAAAAAATGAGTAAAAAACCCGGCTTGACTAATTTCAAAGCCTGCTTAAGCATTTTCGTAGCTACATGATTCTACATCCCTACACCTGGTTTAGATTGCAAGTTACCTCCTTTTAGGTTTCATTTGAATTTGGCTTTCCTTGCTTAGAGATCCATCATTCAAAAATCAACAAAAAAAGAGCCATAGGTCAGACAGTATAATTTTTTGAATGTGTTTTTAATCTGTAGAATGTTTTTTCTTATTTTTCTGAAAAATTTGTGTAATTGTTTGAGTGTTTCTGTCTAGATGCCAATGAACTGAGACGAAAACTTGCTCGTGGTGATGAGGAGCAGGCAGAGAAAACCAGACAATTTAATGAAGAGGTAGTACAGTTTAAAG